TAAGGCAGAGGAGGATCAGGGAGGGCCGGCCGGGGCACAGGCCAGGGGGGCCGCCGGGCGCTCTGAGGGGGTGCGGGTGGCGGCCGTGCTGAGCAGTATCTCAAAGGACCCGTTCTGGTCTTTCCAGCAACCACAGAAGCAGAGACAGAGCAGAGCCTCACCCCCAATGTGATGCTCAACACAGAGAGCAGCGAGGGATATGTGGTGAAAGTCCGGGGGCTGCCTTGGTCCTGTTCCACTGAGGAGGTGCAGAGGTTCTTCTCCGGTAAGTGGGGCTGTGGGGGGAGTAAGAGGTGTGGGAGAGGGGCTGGCCGCTGCTACCAGTTCTGAGTCCCTTCCAGGGACGCTTGGCAGTGGGAATATTGTAGTGAGCAGGACGCATTCAGTAGCCAGTGCAGTTTGTAGTGCAACAAGTGCTTCAGCCAGAACCTGGTATGCAAAGCTATGTTCACGCAGCACAGAGGAGCTTAGTGTCTGAATTGCTGGGATAGCCACAACTGCCTTTGCTGCTTGAGTAACTAGGAGAGAGAGGGTTCTATTTTAAAGAAAATTCAACCTGAAGCAAGAATTTTGAAGCTAAATCAGTTTACTTCTTGTGTTGTCCCAATAGACTCTTAAGTGTGTATCCTTCCCCAAATTCTCAGCATTCTGCAGTAATAAATATTGGTGATAAATATATGCTTTCTGCAGTGACTAGAGCTTTTAAAACTGCTTCAGGAATTTGCTGTATTGGACTCTGTTCTGATTTACTTTATTGCATTTACACTGGTTGTTAATATTATTTATTTCACACTAATAAGAAAGTTAAGATCAAAAGCAGATAGTACGTTCAACTTGAGGCAGAAAAGCTTTGGAAATGGGTAATTTGTATTTTCCTAATATTGATCTGTAGGCTAACTGCAGTTAGCATCTTGGTTAATTAGTCATTTTTAAGCTATAACAAGATCGCTGCTAATTTTGTTGTTGTGGTGTAATTGGTACTCAGTACATTTTTTTGTTTTAGCTTTCTGAAACTTCAAAAGTAACACTGTTCCTATAATAATTAATGTAATTCTGCCCTCCTGTTTAATTTTCAGATTGCAAAATTCTGAACGGGGCTTTGGGTATCCGTTTCATCTATACCAGGGAGGGCAGACCAAGTGGAGAAGCATTTGCTGAACTTGAGTCGGAGGAAGATGTGAAACTGGCCCTGAAAAAAGACAGAGAAACAATGGGACACAGATATGTTGAAGGTTTGACTTAGTTGGTCTAGTAACTGACTACACTGTGTTTGTGCTTGATGGGTTTTTGGTAAATTGCTTTTCTTGTCTCTTTAAAATGCATGTGAAAGGACAGATGGACTTGCATATCATAAGTTGACTAATTTCAAGGCAAATGGCTGTAAAAACTCTTCCCTACTCCAGAATGCATTAATTCTAAGTGCCTTTTACAGTTTTCAAGTCAAACAACGTTGAAATGGATTGGGTTCTGAAGCATACTGGTCCCAACAGCCCTGATACAGCTAATGATGGTTTTGTACGTCTTAGAGGACTCCCATTTGGCTGTAGTAAAGAAGAAATTGTACAGTTTTTTTCAGGTATGTGGGATAAAAGTAGTAGCTGTAGCACTATTGGTTTATGCTAAAAAACCCCAACAAACCAAAAAGCATGGATTGCCCAGTAGTACTGCCCAACAGTATTATCATGGGTATTAAAAGTAAATAAACCAATTCTTCACTAGTTTTCTGGGCATGACAAATCCTTTGGATTACTTCCTAAAGTACTTGATAACTAAATAATTTAGGGAAAGCCAAAAAGGTGCTTGAATTTATACTTGGTGGGACCTGCTGTTTCAATTAAGGATTATAGAAAAATGTCTTGCTTTCCAAATAAAGCTGAATATTTCATGTGGGAGGATATTTCTACCCCTAGCCTTGGCTGATTTGCCCTGGTCAGTGAAGGGTGTAGAACACCCTCAGCACTGGGCTCTGTGTGAGGAGCAGGTTCTCAGTAAGGGTCCATGACCTCTTCCCTACATAGAGCTAGTATTGAAAAAAAATCAGAGAAAACCTGCTAAACTCTACCCAAGTACAGATTAGCCCCTTTCTCTTCCTATGGGGAAAAAACCCCCACCACAGACCCCTGAAATTGCCTAGCTCAAAGTTTTTATGGATGAAGAGATAATGTCTTGTTTTGACTAATTTTTACTTTTTTGCAGCTGTTTTATGTTTTACAAACTGGAATTAGACTATTAAAATGTCTAAGAATGGAATCTGTTGATTGTTTAGGATTTCACTTGTTATTTTCAAAATACTAGATTTTTAAATGTTTTGCTATAACAAGATATGATAGAGGATACTGTTTTGCTTTAAAATACAGTAGAAACATTTCCAGTTTTACAGTCTCAGAAGTTGTTTTTTTGTTTTCTGAATTGGTGATATGAACAAGAGCAATTTCTAAGTATGTGCATTTTAAACTGTTTTTCTTACATGGTGAAGTAATTCAAGCTTTATAAGTTGTTTATGTGCTTATTATACAAAATGTCTCTTCTGTTCAGGAACTAATATTTGAAAATGGCTTCATGATTTTTTTCTTAATTAAGCACTCCTAAAGATTAAAAAAACCCAACAAAACAATGCTGAAACTTAATGTTTGCATAAGACTAATTATTTTATCTAAGTGACCTCTAGTAAAATTACTTGTTCTATATAAAACTGTTTAACTTGCTGTGTTTGAATTTTAAGTTCTCTTAAAAAGTTCATCTTAAATACTTTCACAGAATTGACGAGGTTTGTAATAATGTGTGAAGTTCTTAACGCACCCTGCATTAGATGCCTTCTCTGAGGGGCTGTCCCTGACCCTCAGAGCATTTCTGAGCTCTGCAGGGTGGGTTAAGAACCTGAACTGAATGGTATGTGATCATGGAGCTCTTTGTTGACGTGCCTTTTTTATTCTGGTGTTCTAGAATCAACATACCATTTGCTTAAAAGTGTTTAAATTCTGGTGTTTTTAAAGCTATAAGAAAAAACTCATGACTGGGCTTGTGATGTTAATATTGCCCCCCTACTGGGGTTATTTGTCCTTGGGTTGAAGGGTTGGAAATCGTGCCAAATGGGATAACATTGCCGGTGGACTTCCAGGGGAGGAGTACGGGGGAGGCCTTCGTGCAGTTTGCTTCACAGGAAATAGCTGAAAAGGCTCTAAAGAAACACAAGGAAAGAATAGGGCACAGGTGGGGATGGATGGTTGGTTGGCTCTGTCACTTTTCTTATGGTAAACAATTAAATCCATATTCTCTCTTCTGAAAATGTTAACACCCAAATCAAAACAGTGTTTTGGTCTCTAACTTGGTGATGAGTAAAGATCTTGATTGCTATAGTGTGTGTGGCACAGACTATTAAATCTACCCAAAAATATAGGAGAAAATTGAGATAAACTAAAACGTGCTTTGGAAAATGAGTAATAACAGGCATTCAAAACTACAGTTTGGAAATGACAAAGTTGAGAGACTATGGCTTTAACTTCTCAAATAGCACCAATTCTGCCTTTAGCTCTAAAGACATGCACAGTATTCTTACTACCATAAGAAAATGTGATACTTTCTAAACTTGTTTTATAAGTTGAAATGTAACAAAATTACTTACTTGTATTAATCTTCAATGTAATAAGCATAGCTTTCAAGAAATTGTCACAAAGGGTTTTTATTCAATTTTACTTGTGACTATTTTTCATTGAAGCATGCACCTTATGCCTACGCTGAATTACTGAAGCATAGGCTGGGTTCAGTAGTACATGCAGAGCTATCTGTGGCATCCTGGTGGGTTAAACTCTCGGTGGAGATCGGGTTTTTAACCCTCTGTTTCCGTTGCCTTGAGCAACTATGCTGAGTTGAGTGGACACCAGTCCCTCCTACATTGTTTGACTAACTTTTTAAACTGGGGGGAGGTGGGTGGGGAAATCGGTATTGCTCCCCCACCCTTAAGGTTGGGATACTGCAAAGTATGTGGAGCACAAACCCTTCAGTAATTTTAATTTCTTGAAAATACACTGATTTAAATGTAATGTAGTGCTAATAATAGTCATTGCCTACATAACGTTAAGAAACCTGGCTTAAAATTACTGCCAGTGTCAAGGCTATGACTAAATGGCTTGTTGTAATGTGAACTTGTGAGGTGTTTGTGGAAGGAATCAAAGACTGACTTCTCCCTGTGCAAACACTTTGTAGGTACATTGAGATCTTCAAGAGTAGTCGAGCAGAGGTGCGCACTCACTATGACCCTCCCCGCAAGCTGTTGGCCATGCAGAGACCTGGTCCGTACGACAGGCCTGGCCTGACGCGCGGATACAACAGTCTGGGTAGAGGAAGTAGCTTGGAGAGAATGAGGCGTGGAGCCTACGGAGGAGGTAAGTGCACAGAGGCCCAGGGAGCTGCTCGTTTGAAAAGCAGCAACTCTTGGACCTGTTAGTGTATCCCCAGCTGTATATGTGTCCTTGGCCTTAATTCTTGTAGAAGAAATGAAATGCTGTAGAAGAAATGAAATGTTGTAGTGGTCATTGTTTGCAGTGTGTACTGTGTATTTGGATCTTTCTGTAGTCAAAATGAAAGTTTATTTGGATCTTTGTGTAGTTGAAATGAACATGTCCAATCTATTTCTAGGTTATGGAGGTTATGATGACTACAATGGGTATAATGATGGCTATGGGTTTGGTTCTGATAGATTTGGAAGAGGTAAGGATCTCTAATAGGAACAGTAACTGAACTTACGACATGTCCCAAAAGAAACTAAAATACATCTGAAAGACCTAGAATGGACTCTTTTCTCCGCAGGGATGTCGGACCACAGGTACGGCGACGGATCGTCCACCTTCCAGAGCACGACCGGCCACTGCGTCCACATGCGAGGTCTGCCCTACAGAGCCACAGAGAATGACATCTACAACGTGAGTGCCTCATGCTGCTCCCCAGTGCATGGCTTTGGGTCCCAGGGTCTTTGTGGGACATGCCAGCTGCACTGCAGCTGGAGTGTTCCTCTGGAGAAAATGGCTTGTTGTAAACCCAAACTGTTGCATTGGTGCGTTTTAATCTGTGTGACTGTTCCATGTGTAGTTCTTCTCACCTCTGAACCCTGTAAGAGTACACATTGAAATCGGACCAGATGGCAGGGTAACCGGAGAGGCAGACGTTGAATTTGCTACTCACGAGGACGCAGTGGCTGCTATGTCCAAAGACAAAGCGAATATGCGTAAGTCCGACCGCTCAGAAGCGGTGGCTTTAGGGAGTTGACATCTGCTGCAACTGGAATGCCGAAGATTTCGGTGCAGTCTCACTTGCAGTGAGACAGGCAGTACAGGTTTGGTGTGAAATGCTCTCATGGGAAAACTTTCTTCTTCCAGAACACAGATATGTAGAGCTCTTCCTGAATTCTACAGCAGGAGGAACTGGTGGTGCCTATGGTAGTCAGATGATGGGAGCAATGGGTATGTAACTGTCTAACTGCACTTCCAAATAAGTGCTTGCTGTGGAAGCTGGCTTATTTTGTACAGCTCCTGCTTATTGTGTGCCTGGCATCAAAACTGAAATTCAACATTCTGTCTTAATCACACAGTCAAGGAGTCGGAAGGGGTAGTCCAGGATTGGAATACTAGCACGTTGCCAGGTACATAAACCTTTTGAGAATACATTTGAGCTTTAGTAGGTTGAATAAACTTGTGGTGCTGAGTGTGGTGTGCTTGGTGGAATGAGTGGCTTCTTTGGAAGTGTGGTAGTGCAAAATCTGGGAAATGCCTATCCTTTTTATTTTCCTTCCCCTTCCCTATTTGGAATACCAGAACATAGTTCGGTGATGGAGGATGTATCTGTGGCATGTGACCCTGCCATTCAAGCTGAGTCTTGGTGGTGGTGAGAGAGAGATACTTGGAATTGGGAGAAATTGTCTGAATTGCTCTTGCAAACCCCAGAATTCTTAAATCTAAAATGTGTGTTTGTAGCACAAGTCTTAAATGCCTGTTGCTGTTGTGCCTCTAAGACAGATACCCTCCTGACACCCAGCTGGGCTGGTTTCGGAGATGAAGGTGGGGTTGGTTTCTGTGGGGGCTCCTTTCTTGGGGGGGTGGGGGTGTGTGGATACACTGTTACTTTTATAATATTTGGTTACAAAATGTTTGTAGTTTAATGCTGATACTGAAACTACAGAAAGTAGTATAGGCAAGTGATGAGGTGAGGAGGTGTTGTTTGATTAAACAGAGGTATCTGTGTCTGAGCCACAGCACTGCTGTGATGTGAGGCACAACCACTCTGGAGCAGGAATAAGTCTGTCAGGGCCATGTGCACATGACTGACTCCAGTTAATGAGCTGCTGTGCTTCTGAAAGAGCAGCACTCCTGTGTAAGGTCCTTTAAAGCTAAGATAAAGTCTTTTGGGGTATGTTACAGTACAAATCAATCCTGTTTAGTATAGTCCACAGAAATTGTAAAAGTAACTTCTAAAGTTCTTGTTGCTGCTTGATTGCAGGGATGTCTTTAGAAACCCCATCACTTTCCTTGAGCATGTTAAACTTCCCTTGGTGTGAGCAAGGTAGTGCCAGAGTGCAGGGGCTGTTGGTTGGGTGAGGGCTGGGGTTGATGATGAGCAGATCTTGACCGGCAAGTTCTTAATGTTTTTACCCTTAACTTAAAGGGAGCCAATCCAGTTACGGTGCTCCAGGCAACCAGCAGCTGAGTGGGGGTTATGGAGGAGGATATGGAGGTCAAAGCAGCATGAGTGGCTATGGTAAGAGCATTTCTTTCTTTGTTTCCATTGAGCCAGGTGCAGCTGGCTTAACATACCCTTCACTGGTGTTGAAGGGTTGTGTTCTAACATGGGCAGCACAGGCTCTGAAAGTTAAAAACGTGGCTTCTGTGACTTGGGGAATTGGGGGGGAAATCAATTTAAAGCTGCAATGGGGATCTGAGGGGGGGAAATGTGGAAAACTATTCTTAAAGGGGCAGGAAATGCCAGTCTCAGACTTGCATTGCTCTGATCACATCTTTTCTTAATCCAAAAGCTGGAGACCAGCTTTGTTTAACCACAGTACAAATGGGGGAGGGGGTCATGGGAGGCTGGGTCCTCCCTATTCCCCCAGAGCAGTGGTAAAGCTCTGGCTTGGGAACGGGGTGATGCAGAGCTCGTGCTGTCGTTGAACATCCGATAACTGACTTTGGGTACGGAGCTGTAAACTGACACTTTGCAGCGTTGGGCACGGTAGACGGTATTTACGAGGTGGCCCAGCAAGGACAGGCGTTGGGGCAAGGATGCTTCGAGTCGGCCTGAGGCAGCTGTGAACCTGCTGTCGGTTTCCCCCTCAGACCCCGGGAGCCAGGGCGCCATGAACAGCAGCTACTACAGCAGTGGGAACCGCGCATCCATGGGAGTGAACGGCATGGGCGGCATGTCCAACATGTCCAACATGAGTGGTGGCTGGGGAATGTAACCAATCGCTGACTTTTGGTCACATCTTTTTTAAAAAACAAAAAAACAAAAAACTAAGTTTAACAGTTTTGCAATACGAGCTTGTGATTTATGCTTTACTGTAAGTGAATTCAGGATTGTTTTAAAACCTTTCAGGTTCAGTATTTTTGAACATACAGAAATGAACATTCATCTAGGATGTAATAACCAAGTAAAGACTATAACTGTTAAACAATTTGGAGCGTTTCTCAAGTTAGTTTTGTTGTAGGAGTGTATTTAAGCAGTAAGCGTATTTAGGTTAAAGCTGTTTGAATTATGTTAAATGTTGCTCTTATACCATATTACATCCAACACTGTTTTGAATACATGTTGAAAGAGACATGCTTTTTTGTAAAGAACCAATATAGGAGCTGTGTCTGAAAATCAAAGTGAACATTTGGCATGTTAGTTCTAGTTTATTTCTTTTAATATCCTGTAAGGCATGTTAAAGCTTTCTTTTTTTTAAGTTAATGGGGGAAACATGTTGAGACGCAATACGGCTACTTTAGGATTTTGGTCTTGGTGTTCGTATAAAATTCTGAGGCCTTGATTTAATCTTTCATTGTATTGTGATTTCCTTTTTAGGTGTATTGCGCTAAGTGAAACTTGTTAAATAAATCTTCCTTTTAAAAACTGGAACTCACTCCTTCTTGACCTCCAGCTTCTTGTAACTACACTCTCACCCATGTCCTCTGTGAGTGTTGTGCTCTTGCCCAGCAGCTGCTGAGCACTGACCCCTCCCAGAGCACTGACCCAGAGAGTGTTAACAGTGACACGGGGGACACCACCCCCGCTGCTGGGGGTGCCCAGGGGGGCCTTGGTTCAAAGCCTTGCATGGCTGTGCCATGAGCAGGGGCTCTGGGCGCTAAAACTCTGGGGCGGTGAGAGGTGATCTGTACTTCCCTGTAGGTATCAGTGGACTCAGCAGCTTACTGCAACCGTGTTTCAATAAATGCAACTTGTCAAATACCCTGCTTAAAGATGTGGTTTTGTAAGCAACATAGTTACAGCTTTTTGAGCACTGCACCTCCCCCTGAAATGACACACAATTTGTTTCTGTGCAGTGGCCATAGTATTTTGTTTGCCCTTTGTAGTAAACTGTTCTGAAGTGTTAAGAACCTGAGGCACCTGTCTACAGTGAGGAAAGCGCCCTCCTGTTCTGTAGCAGAGGAGCTGGAAGGGTGGAATTCTGAGCACTGGGTACTGCAGCCGTGGCTGGCTGCCATGAAAACAACCTGCTGACAGCCCAGCTCAGTGGCCTCCTGGCCCTGCTGTGCCTCTGTTAGAGCTGGGTCAGAGTGGGGATCACCCCAGGTTTGCACTGTTTCACACGGAGCCTCTGGAAGAAGCTCACTTGGTCAAAGAGCCGCTCTGGAACCGGGTACTGTGGGGGCTGCTGGGGCCAGGGCTGCCTTCACTGTGCTGCAGTGACAGCCCCGTGCTCTGGCACAGGAACACAAAACTGCTTTGGGATCCCTGGTGCAGCAGAACAGGGACCTGGTGCCCCTGGGTCTGGGGCAGCAGCTGCTCCCCTCTGTCCCAGGGGTGCACACAGTGAACTAGAGTCACTGCCGTTTTTTTTCTGGAAAAGGACAAAAGCAGTTCCAGCTGCAGAGCAGTGGCTTCATCTGGTACCTTCCAGGAATACCACAGTGTTGGTCAGGTATCCCAGACACGTTCTGGTTACCTTTAGCTTAAACCTTGGATACACCTGGCTGGACAAGAACATTCTCTTCTAGGATCTGTGACTGATGGGTGTTAAAAATTAGAACTTGCTTTCAGTTTTTGCAAAAGACTTTATTGTGTAACTACTGCACTGTGGTCACAGCGACTTCCAGAACAAGTATAATGTGCAGCTTTTGACTCCGCAGTGAACTGAAGGCACATTCATTGACACTCTACTTATAAAGCTTTCTCTAGACAGTTCATAAATTGACCTTTTCCTCTCTGGCTGACTGGAGCAAATACAAAACTGTACATGAGACAGGGGAGCACACAGGAGCAACTACAGTGAAGGTAAAGAAATTAAGTTCATGTACAGAGAGACAATGATATCTACAGGGATCAAATAAATGTAGAAATACCATATACAAATTTTAATACAAATACCTATAAAAATCAGAAAAATGAATCTTAGTTTCAAATAGAACTCTTGGGGAAATTACAGTTGATATAAGCTTCTTAATTATTTCAGTTGGAGAAGCATTAGCTTGCACAATCCCTACAAATTAATTTACACTGCTGTTACAGTGGAAATTATTAGACCAGCCAGTCCAGTCTGCTGCACAGAAGACACCTGCAATTCAGAATTAAAAAAATAATGGCTACTTTCCAATGTTAAAGTGGCTCAGTCAAGGGCAGGAGAGCCTTAGGAGGAGTTAGAGGAGCACTGCTGGAGAAGTAATGTGTGACAATTATCACAGACACGGACGGGTTTCGGGTACGATGGCAGCGCGAGTTCATTACTGGAACAACTGTTGCAGAAGATGTCCCCGCAGTTTCTGCAGTGGTGCTACAAAAACAGAGTCAGAATGAGCACAGCTGCCTAAAAACGGCATCCGGAAGAAAGAAGTCAGGCCTTGGGAACTGTGTCCGAGTCCTCTCCAATAAGCCCAGCCCTCCCAGCAGCACTTCCTTCTGCGCAGGGCCGAGTTCAGGGCTGGATCCCAGAGCAGCCGCCCTCCCTCCGCGACCCCGAGCTGCACCCGCCGCGGCTCGGGGACAGCCAGGAGCAGGAGCGGGGCCGGAGCGGTCGGGCCTGGCCGCGGAGGGAGGGCGGCATCCCGGGGACAGCCTGCGCTGGGATGGGCTGCG